CTACATGAGGTCCGGCAGGGAACACTTGGCGTGGATACTCGCGGTTGAGGTCCGGCAGGGAACAATGGGCGTGGATGGTCGTGGTTGAGGTCCGGCAGGGAACACTGGGCGGGGATGGTCGTGGTTGAGGTCCGGCAGGGAACACTGGGCGTGGATGGTCGTGGTTGAGGTCCGACAGAGAACACTGTGCGTCGAGGGTCGCGGTTGAGCAGGAGGAGGAGGAGAGGAGAGGAGGAGAGGAGCAGGCAACTGACGTAAAATCTAACAACCCTCACCTGGCAGGTGGGGAATGAGATTCCATCAGGTTCCTTCCTTTGTGATGACCAAAAATGAAACTTCAAGAAAAAACGATGAATTATGATAACACCAAAGGTATCCCAATACATGAATCTTTTTGAATGCCAAGAACATGTGGACTTATCCACCCCTTGTTTAATTATTCTGGTGACCATCAATGCCATGGATATTGTATGATATTATGGTGTTGGGGGTGCCCCAATGGAAGAACTGATCCTGAATGCCCAGTACATGTGGACTCACCCACCCCTTGTTTAATTATTCTGGTGACCATAAATCCCATGAATATTATGGTGCCAAAGGTGTCCTGATGAATGAATGTTCAGTACGTATGGACTCACCCACCCCTTGATTAATTATTCTGACCTGATCTGGGATCACGCAAGCGGCCCGAAACAGATAGAAACAGTTTACCATGGTCCCGCAGCGCCTTTCCCATGGACTTGCTCTGCTTGAGATGGAGCATTTGGGCTGCAGCAATGCTGTTCCCAACTGTGCAAGAACCTTGCTGTCTACGCCGGATCGTCTTCACGGAGCTGTGCTAGGACACGTGTCAGGAACCATGGCTGCAGTATCCCGAGGCGGAACACGAGGCAGCACAATGAGCTAAAACAGCTGAAATTAAACCATGGGGTTTAATTTTGAGAAAATTGAGTTGGTCCACGCACCTGGGGGGAAAAATGGTGGGCGCAACTGTTTTTACACCAAGTCTCACTGACATGTGTAGAACCAGGTGGTTTAATATTTGGTCTTGGCAAAACAAAATCAACCCAATGATCCTGTAAAATTAAACCAGGTACTGCCGAGTAGCTTGTTTAATTTTTGGCTGGGGGATGCTGGGTGGGACCTTAACTGGATTTTTCTGGATTAATTTCTTATGTTAAAAATAAACGGAGGTTATGTTTGACTGAAGAATTTTGGAAAAATTACTTTACTTCGTGTGATCCCCACCATGACATTTATACATGTTCTTACTGGCACATCTTCTGGCATTCTATCTGACATATCTTCTGACATTCTATTTGGCATTCTATCTGGCATATCTTCTGGCATATATTCTGGCATATCTTCTGGCATATCTTCTGGCATTCTATCTGGCAAATCTTCTGGCATTCTATCTGGCATATCTTCTGGCACTCTATCTGACATATCTTCTGGCATTCAATCTGGCATTCTATCTGGCATATCTTCTGGCAAATATTCTGACATATCTTCTGGCATTCTATCTGACATATCTTCTGGCATATATTCTGACATATCTTCTGGCATATCTTCTGGCATATCTTCTGGCATATCTTCTGACATATCTATCTGGCATATCTTCTGACATATCTATCTGGCATATCTTCTGGCATATTTTCTGGCATTCTATCTGGCAAATCTTCTGGCATTCTATCTGGCATTCTATCTGGCATATCTTGTGGCATATTATCTGGCATTCTATCTGGCATATCTTCTGGCATATCTTCTGACATTCTTTCTGACATTCTTTCTAACTTTCTTCTGCACATTCTTTGTCCCATATCTTCCTACATGAGGTCCGGCAGGGAACACTTGGCGTGGATACTCGCGATTGAGGTCCGGCAGGGAACACTGGGCGTGGATGGTCGTGGTTGAGGTCCGGCAGGGAACACTGGGCGAGGATGGTCGTGGTTGAGGTCCGGCAGGGAACATTGGGCGTGGATGGTCGTGGTTGAGGTCCGGCAGGGAACACTGGGCGTGGATGATCGTGGTTGAGGTCCGGCAGAGAACACTGTGGATCGCGGGTCGCAGTTGAGCAAGGACGACGAGGACGACGAGGACGACGAGGACGACGAGGACGACGAGGAGGACGAGGAGGAGGAGGAGAGGAGGACGAGGCAGGAGGAGGCGGAGGAGGAGGAGGAGAAGGAGGAGGAGAAGGAGGAGAAGGAGGAGGAGGAGGCAACTGACATAAAATCTAACAACCCTCACCTGGCAGGTGGGGAACCATACTGCAGGGGACCCCGTTTAATTAAAAAAAATAAACCAGGGTCCCACCCCCCCCACCAATTACCGATAGGGATATATTTTTTGCGTTCAGCAAGGCCAAGAATCGGTTCAAAAAGTGCCAAAAATGCTGTAATTTTGCAGGTGTTTGGTACCGTCACGGGGAAAAAGCTGCGTAAATACCAGCGTTTCGGCATCCAAAAGTGGCCAAGACACCGCTATTTACAGTGTTTCGTGCTTTCCAGGTTTTCTTGAAATTGCAAAAACCGTGTAAATACGAGCACTTTTTGCGATCAACCCGCCAAAAATGTTGTAATTTACAATGTTCTTTTGCTTTGCTTTCAAAAACGCTGGTAATTGCAGTGTTTTGTGCATCTCTGGTCTAAAAAGTTTTGGTATTTACAGCATTTTCTGCATTTTTGCATTGCTCCCGCAAAGGCGCTAAAACGCAAAAATGCTGTAATTTACAGCTTTTTGTGAATTTCGAAAAGCTAAAAATCGTCCGAAACATGTGTCAAAACGGCACTTTTTCCGATTTTAGGTACCCTCAAAACAAGGGGGGGAATGCTCTTGGAGACGCCTATGAGCGACCCGGATTCCGACAGTGATAGCATTGACCGTTAGATGTGAATACGGTGGTCATTCAAAAGAAGGAAAAACATGTCAATGTGGTATCTAGGACGTATACTAAGCTTAACAATGTTTGAAGTAAGTGTTGTTTGAAGTGAGTGTCTCAGTCGATGCTTGCAGGCTGGCTGGTTGCTTGGGCTGCTGCTGTTAATGGCGTATGTTTCACTTGCAAATGAGTTTTGGCAAACGCTGGCACCGCACAGGCTTCAAATGCAGCTGCCAGGCTCGGAGAATGCGTGCCTCGCAGAGCCTTACCCCCATGGCCCTGAAGGCCGGACCAGGTGCTCCGCTGGGAGGCTCCAGCCTAACGTCACTTTCTGAACGGAGGAGGCATTAGCTTGAAATGCAGCTGCCAAGCTCGGAAAATGCGTGCCTCGCAGAGCCTTACCCCCATGGCCCTGAAGGCCGGACCATGCAGGTGCTCCGCTGGGAGGCTCCAGCCTAACGTCACTTTCTGAACGGAGGAGGCATTAGCTTGAAATGCAGCTGCCAAGCTCGGAAAATGCGTGCCTCGCAGAGCCTTACCCCCATGGCCCTGAAGGGCGGACCAGGTGCTCCCCTGGAAAGCCCCAGCGCCTAACGTCGCTTTCTGAACGGAGAGAAATTGTCTTCAAATCTACTTGCCAGGCTCGGGCGCATGTGCCCGTGCAAGTGACAAGCTTACCCGTGCAAGTGTGGATTGATGGCTTCATGGACGTTGCCCCTTGCGTCGTTCCCATCTTCTCTGACGCGCTCCCCCTGCTGTCGACTGGGGTAATTTCATTGTCGATGTTTTTCATTGATGCGTTGTTTTATGATTTTGATCATCGTTTTTCCCCACCTGCCAGGTGAGGGTTGTTAGATTTTATGTCAGTTGCCTCCTCCTCCTCCTCCTTCTCCTCCTCCTCCTCCTCCGCCTCCTCCTCCTCCTCGTCCTCCTTGTCATCCTTGTCGTCCTTATCGTCCTCGTCGTCCTCGTCGTCCTCGTCGTCCTTGCTCAACTGCGACCCGCGATCCACAGTGTTCTCTGCCGGGCCTCAACCACGACCACCCACGCCCAGTGTTCCCTGCCGGACCTCAACCACGACCATCCACGCCCAGTGTTCCCTGCCGGACCTCAACCGCGAGTATCCATGCCAAGTGTTCCCTGCCGGACCTCAACCACGACCATCCGCGCCCAGTGTTCCCTGCCGGACCTCAACCGCGAGTATCCACGCCAAGTGTTCCCTGCCAGACCTCATGTAGGAAGATAAAATATCAGATAGAGTGCCAGAAGATTTGCCAGGTAGAATGCCAGAAAATATGCCAGAAGATATGCCAGATAGATATGCCAGAAGATATGTCAGAATATATGCCAGATAGAATGCCAGATAGAATGCCAAATAGAATGTCAGAAGATATGTCAGATAGAATGCCAGAAGATATGCCAGAAGATATGCCAGATAGAATGCCAAATAGAATGTCAGAAGATATGTCAGATGGAATGCCAAATAGAATGTCAGAAGATATGTCAGATAGAATGCCAGAAGATATGCCAGAAGATATGCCAGAAGATATGCCAGATAGAATGCCAAATAGAATGTCAGAAGATATGTCAGATAGAATGCCAGAAGATGTGCCAGTAAGAACATGTATAAATGTCATGGTGGGGATCACACGAAGTAAAGTAATTTAGAATCGAAAGATGTAAACACATGTAAATACCGCACCACCTTTAGCTTGACTTGTGGTGCCTTGGATTTCGCCATTTTCCTGCTGTCACTAGTAATGTTTGTTTCAAGTATTGACTCTCATATTGTATATATTGTGAATCTGCTAGCAGATCCCCTTCTCTTGTCTTGTGCTTGAACTTCCTCAAGTTTGTCCTCATTCTTTTGTCGGGATGCCAAGATGGAAGGGGTCAGTGGCAGCAAAGATAGCACAGGAATCCTGTTTCCAGTTTATTTTTCTCGTTAGGAAATGCCGTACCTCTATGTACAAGGACCGCTGTGAAGTGGAACTCGCATTTCAAAACCCTACGAAGTGCAGCTATTGTTGCTAGTGTTGGAAGATGGAAGAGTGACAAACACGAGGTTCAGTGCATTTTATGCGTTTTTGTTCCTTTGAGTTCTTTGCTTCTCAAGGATTTCCAATTGTGCCATTCTGAGAGCGGGTGCGAAGACATCCTTGTTGTATAGCATACTCCTGCAAAGATGCTTTTGGCGCTCGGAGACCTTCTTCCTTGGCAATGGCCCCGCAAGCTCCTTCAATTCACCCAGACATTAACCGTCAATCATGAACATGGCATTTGGCTGGTTCGAACTTCTACTCCGGTGGCTCTGGTCGGCTTGGAGTGCCACCTTGCGGTGCTAATCGATGGCTTTGTGTATGAGATCGGCCTGCCCGCAGATAGAGACAGGACCGAAATTTTGTTTTTGAAAAGTGGCAAGTGGGAAGTGAGCTGGCACACTCCATATGGTTTCTGCGATTATAAGGGATGGGTGCGCGTGTACGGAAATCCCCGAGTTCTGAAGACAAGGGACGAACTCGTTGCTTATGCGAAAAGTCTTGAAGGCAAGGACTACGATTTCCTGGATATGAACTGCCAAGACTTTTGCATCCTTATGATTGCCTTTGCCTGTGACAAGAAGGTCAAAATAGGGACACCGGAATTCGATGATTTGCGGCGAGACACCTTGGTCAATACCTTTGGTCTTGGTTTCACTTGGCGTCCAAGCCGTGGGATGGCATATCCTGAACCTCATGCTGATTTTTTGAATGCTACATTTTTTGAGGATCAGGTCCCTTTTGGGCCTGAAACTGACCATGAGTATCAGCCTGACACCCGCGCTGAGAGCAGCTATCAAGGAAATCCTTGATCAACTGTTGCCAAATTTAAGATATCCCAGATATTATGCAAAGAGCACAGATTGTCATAGAATTCCCGCAGGGACGTGCGTTGTCTCTTCCAGAACCTAGAGTCGAGGGCTCAACATTGCACAGACCACTGCGCTGAGAGGCTGCAAAAGGCAATGTCTTTGCGTGCTCCAAAGACCCATCCGAGTGTTTCATTTCCCTTGATCTGTCACTTTCTACCCGACGACCCATTGCCTCATGACATCATGACATCTTGCCCAATCGAGGTTATGAAGCCATGATTGAGCCGACCTTTGCAAAGGTGCATCTCAGCGACGTTCAAAACCTATATAAAATTCTTGTGAACACTTTAACCGGCGCCTTGAAGGAAATAACCTTTCCACCCTTGTCCCTTGAGTTGAGAACGTCACCATTCTTTTTGGTAGGATCAATCAATCCAATCCTTGGGAAGCATTATTCGGTCATACATGTCCCAAAAACCATCTATTGACAGGAACAATCCGGGAATAGACAAAGGTCACTGAAATACTCATGGATGAAGCACGGAATACAAAGTGATTACTTCACAATATCTCAACGAAACAAATCATGAATTGATCACCACCCATCCGTAAAACCGCGACAGCAACAACAAATCCTCTCCTCATCCAATCCAAACATCAACAGAGAAGGTTCGGGGCAAACATGTCCCAAAATCCCGTCACAAATCTTCAAGGCCAAGGATTACACATAGAACATAGAGACTGTAACAACCAATATACAACAGGATTTTGACCGCCCATGTTTGGGTTGTCTGTGGGGGGTGCCACATTTTACCATGAATGAATCACCTGGCAGCAAAGTGGGCTAATGTGCAAATTTGTTGTTTCTGCATTTTGGCTCGTGATATGTCATTGTTGGTAAAGCGCTCCAATCTTTTGCTGAATAAGGTTGCTCTTTGCTATTTCTTTTGGTTGTACTCTGCTTTAGCGAGGGTTGATATACATTTGACTTTTTTTTCTCACAGTAACAACCATCAAACACCGACCCTGGTAAATAGTAAACCTAATGATAAACCATCCCAGATTCGGGTTTATGAGCAATTAGGCAACTTATACCCCTATCATACCCCTATTGCAACTCGGATGATGTTGGTTGATTATTGGGAAGGTCTATGAGTTCATGGCATTAATGGGGTTTACCACATGACGGTTGCTGTGAGCAACTGAGCCTGACATCCGCGGTCTACCTGGAAGGTTTTTGCCTCACTTGCTGAGATTTGATGGGGACCATGAGGCGCCGAAAGGGAACAAACTTGGTGGAAGTTCGCGTAGAAAAAATAGTGCATATGGGTTTGTCTGAAAATGGGGTACTGTATCCCATAGTTTAATATTAATAGGGAAAATGAATGAACATTATAATTGACTATGGGATTTTTGGGAGTGCAATATTTTCAAACAAACCCATATTGTTTGGGGATGTTTTGGGTAATTAACGTGACTCGCGCGACAGTTTCAAACTGAATTAGATGAAACATTGATGGTATTTGATTTTGATGATATTTTTTCCTGACAAGTTGTTTTTTCTTTATATTTTTTTTGAAGGGACCCTTCATAGACTGCCCAGCAATTTTTTGGGAGGTTATGCGCACATATGTAAAGGCAGCAAAACATGGGTTGCGTGCTGAAAAAAATGACCCACCCAAGGTCAACAGGGTGACCTGTAAATAGAGGTTTTGATGGGAAAAGCATCTATAAATGGTGGAATTTCTATTGCCATGTTTGATTAACGGCAGTTAATCCAGTTCTTGTTGGTCTTGTACAAGTTCAATCCTCTATTATCCCCAATTTTTGGTTGGTCGAATCCCCATTCCTTGCTTGGCCACTTAATTAGGTCCTATCATACCGATTGGTTATCTAGACCATCCTATTTCCATAGATACCAGATTATCCCATAGGTGAAATGCCAGTTCATCCAGTCATAAACCAACTTCCCTATCGTTTGGAGACCCCTTGCTCTACCTATGGGACCATGGTTCAGGTGGTGAGTGTGGAAGCGGACCCACACCTGTCGGACGTAGGCTGGGCCGGGGCAGACCGGCTGACCTGGCCGGGGCTGGGAGAAATTTTTGCGGTGCAAAAACCATGGATCCCCTCCGATGTCATCAAGCATGGCTGGCTCAGAAATCCCCTATAGATGTTTTTTTGGGGCAAAAATATGGAAAATCATCTATAATTGGAGGATTTTCCATTGCCATGCTTGAATACCGGAAGGTCATGTTGGGAACATGTTGGGCATACATGGATAGAATAATGAACATGAACAGGGATCCTCTAGGCTAATCATGGATGATAGAGTGATGGATGAGAATGGGGTGATTTGATTGACCAAGAAACACAAGGGGTCTTAAGCAGCAAAGGGCGAAAAGCCACGGAGCATGATGATACAACCAAGAATTCTGGAGAATCGCGTAAATGGTCAAAACCTCCCCAAGACGTCAACCATAAATGATGGTCAATGGGGCAATCACAACCAAAATGGGCAACCCTTTCAGGTTGAAAGGTTTGTGAATTATTCTGATTTGCAACGAAGAATCCCTTTTGTTACTTTGTTATGGGCCCTCAGAACTGAAACGGTCCGAGATGGTACTTTGGATGTTCCCTGACTGAGAATCCAAAGGGTTGTTGTGTTAGAATATCCATGATATCCAGGTTGCAGGGTTCATATCATGCTTCCTAAGCAAGTAGCTTTAGGGTCTGGGACAGGAATGACATGGAATGACTATCATCATGGGGTAGACAACATGTCCCAAGTGGCACAGTCCAAATTTCTAGATCCTTGTCGTTAGCTTTTTGCTTCAAAATTGGTTTCATTCGCTCCTTGATAGGTATTTGTTGCCTCCTAACAACTCTGAACCAGTTTGTTTGACAGATTCTTGTTGTCCAGCTTTTGTCAACTTTTTGTCTGTCTTTTCGTTTTGTTTTTAGTGCTAATTCGTGCTTTGTTCTTCATTTGCGTTTGTCCGAAAATGAAGCATACCCTAAATACTGTAGCCATTGCATAAATTTAATGAAGAATTTGATGATTCATGATGGATTTGGATGGATTTGGATTATACATGATTATACTGCGTTCTTTTTTCTCCGACATTAGAAACCTTTGGTCATGCACATCCAGGCCGGGACAAGGCTGACCAACGTCCTGCTTTGGTATCTTAATTGGGTTTTCCGGTTGCCATGGTCAAAGCATGAAAAAATATTCTCTTCGAGTGACTGACCCCCACCCTGACACCTTATTCTGACATAGTTTCTGACATAGCATCTGGAAGTACAAAATGGATAGGATATATATATATGTATATATATATGTATGTATGTATATATAGATGTATACATGTTATATGTATACATATATACATAAATACATTATATATATATAATTATATATATATACATAAATACATGATACTGGTATATATATATATATAGCATATATATATGTGCATATATATATATATATATACATACATATACATACATACATTACATTACATTACATTACATTACATTACATTACATTACAATACAATACGATACAATACAATACATACATACATACATACATACATACATACATACATACATACATACATACATACATACATACATACATACATACATACACACATACACACATACATACATACATACATACATACATACATACATACATACATACAGTACATACATACATACAGTACATACATACAGTACATACATACAGTACATATGTACATATAATATAAATATCTATTTTACATTATAATTCTATATGACATTCTTACGGCATTCTATCTGGCATCTATTCTGACATTCTCTCTGACATTGGCACTACCGGACCTCAAGCGCGAGCGCCAGATCTCAGTGGGCAGTGTGCCACGGTTGAGGTCCGGCAGTGCCCACTGAGATCTGGAGTTCACTGTTGGAGGAAGGAGGGAAGTAATTAATTCTGATAAAATCTCAAGAGCTTCACCTGGCAGGTGTGGAAATATTACCTGGGGAAGGGATGAGAATAGCCCAAATCATGGTTCACAATAGATGGAAATCCCACTCTCATGAATGGGATTCCCTTGAATTTTCCTATTTAATAGGTTGATGGCTAGTTGGGGGTTTGTTGACCGACCCTTCAAACATGGGTGGGTTATCATCCATGATCTACTCGAACGGATTATTTTTGCCCAACCACTAGAACAAGAATCCTTTTATGTCTACATATAAAATTTATACCATTGATATTGTTAATTAACTGGGTACAGTTTAAGAATACCATAGAATTGGGGGAATCCTTGCGAAACGCAGGCGCTCAACTGCTACGGCATGCGCTGGGGCAACGCCAGGTGGTAAGGCGCAGTTCTGGTGGGAATCCAACAACGGGATGAGAGGATCCCCCCGGAATCCCTTGGGGATTCAAGGAGAAATCCCCTATAAACAATGAGAAAATCTCTATGAAATCGCTTATGAACATTTTCGATCCTACTTTAAATGACGAACATTTTTGACACCACCAATCAATTGTGAATGGAGGTTTATAGCTGGGAAAAACAATCTATAACTGTGGGATTTTCCAGCAAACCATGACTACCAGAGGCTACATAAACGGTTCATTTCGGGGTATCCAATAATGTTGACCTGTAAATAACCAGGTCACTTTTTTGAAAACAACCTTTGTTTGGAAGATCATGTTTTATTCAGGTTTTGCAATAATCACTAGAAATCATTAACTCCCCTATGCCCAACCGTCAATCCACTTGTTTACCTTGTTTATCCCCAATCAACCCTCCCTCCACTTTTTTCTTTTTGACCCAAAACCAAGGGTTTGTCTAAAACAAGGACACCTGCAAATTTGCTGGTTCAACAACTTAATGACTCATATGCTTTCTTTCCATGACACTTGTATTTTTTGTGGCCTTGTATCCGTATCGTGTTAATATTCCCATGTAGTCCCATTACTATTGAGTCAATACATGTATATATTGTACTGTATATATTATACTAATCCGAGAACCTAGCATTAAACCCTGGTTAGGTTATTGGTCAATACGGGTTTGCCAGACTTGGGAATCAAGATATTGATGTGTTCACAATGGCAACCCATAAAACTATGACGGGTAATTCGTTGAACTATGATTATACCGTCTCTCTGCAGATATATATGTATATAGCTTGCAACACAATGATTTTAGTTGCAACAATATCCATATACTCAGATACTCCATTCATGGAAGATTTACCAACATTAATCCAAAAGATGATCCCGATGTTGGTTAATATTCCAGCACCATGGAGCATATGGGATAACCAACAATGGCCACTATTATATCATGGCCATTACAGGACTTACATTGGAGGTACCTACCTGTATAAGGCCCATGATTCAGGGCTAAATTTCAGGGAATATCACCCCAAAATATTTTCTGATATAGTACCTCCATTTTGGGATCCTGAATTTCCCAGGGATTATATGGCTACAAATCAAAATACCTCGGGTATGGATCAAAGCCACCTCAAAATAGCTCACACCCAAGGTGAGACACACATTTGCCTTGGTGAATTAATTACTGTTGATGAATGGGGGATATAAACCAACTTATGACTGGGCCTATGGGCCTCAATATGACTGGGCCTCAATTTGTAGATATATGTAGACGTTATTTGACTACAATTAGCACCCAGATCAAACATAATGGGACAGAGGTCTATGCCAGCATTATTATTCCGTTATTTAACACCCAGAATCCTCGGAAATGTTGTTTAAGGATTATGTACTCTCTTCTCCCTATTGCCCTATTACAAAAACTCCCCCAATTAATAGAAGTAGGAGTGAAAATTGTTTGTACACCCTATTAATAAAAATAGAACGAGACCCCTAAGTTTATTATTAGGGTCCCATCAACTTTCAAATCATGTTTTTTATTCTTTTTATAAGGGTTTCAATTTGATTATTAGGGGAAAGCTTCGAAATCCAATTTTTGGCAATATTCTAGAAGGATTTAAAAAAGGGATTTAATTGATTTTGAAGTCTTTTTTTTTAAGATAAGGTTTTTGTTTTATTATTACGGGAAAGCTTCGAAATCCAATTTTTGGCAATATTTTGAACGGATTTTAAGAGGGATTTAATTGATTTTGAAATCGATTTTTATTTTTTTGATTAAGGTTTATGTTTTATTATGAGGGGCACCCTAATACTAAATACCCCCTAATTATAAAATAGATCACCGTGTTTAGCATTTGGGAGGCATTTTAGTATTGGGAGCAGAGATTATTGGAATAGTTGACACACACACACATATATATATACATACGTGAATATTGGATTAGTTAACATATATACGTGATCATCATTAACCATTAGTGTAACATCCATGTTGTAGTATGAAAGGTCAATATTATCGGTACCAACATCCAACAATACTGGTTATACAGCCAGCCGCAATTAGACAACGTCATTAATTTTCCCCATAATTAATCATAATTAATCATTATATTATTAATCCCACAGTTAACCACAATGGGGAACTTTCTCCAATGGATTATTTTCCCATTAAAGCCTCCATTTAGTGCGTGGATTTCCCAGTTTGCCATGCTTGATGACACCGGAGGGCGCACAAAATGTCGAATCCATGTATTATCATATAATGGGATAGTGATAATCACTATACCATAGATGTACGATACAGTACCATATATTTAAGAGCAACTGTTTATTGGGATATAAAAGATGGATACGCAGACGAACTCCAAGATTCTTAGGGCCAGTGTGGCAACCTCTGATCCAACAAAACAAGGCATCTGTAGGACAAATCGATACACAATGGATCTTCCCACTCATTTTTGATTTACAACATTTTGTAACCTTTACCATGAAATCCAATGAAATCCCATGGTCTTCCCATGGTCTTCCCATTGAATCCCCATGGTATTCCCACCGCTGAAGTCCCCAGGCATTTGCCGCTGCTGCCCGGCGAGGAGACGACGCTGCCGGAGCTCCTGGAGACCTTGCGGGAGGCGAGAAACCCATGGAAAAACCACCATTTTTGGGGGAGATCTGGGAAAATTCCTATGGAACATCCTATGGTTTTTGGATGAATCATAGGGAAAAAAAAATGGATGAAGGATGGACTTCATGGAATTCATGGAAAAACTGGAAAATCCCATGGAAGATGATGGGTTTGCCATGGAAAAACATTGTGGACCTGAGAATTGGATTGAATATTGACAGGCAAAATTGGGATGAAAGGAACATTTCTCAGCGGGATTCAACAAAGATGATGGATATATCATTGAAGCGGGTTTCTTCTGGTGCAGGAATTCTCGGCATGTTTTTTTGTGGTTAAACGATGATGAATGAACTCGCCATGTTTTTTTCAGGCTGAACCCCTCTATCACTTTAATATCCCTTTATCCCTTTCATATCGTTTAATGCAGGTTAACCATGGTTAACCCAATCTTAAGCGCCAAATTTCAAAACTGCCACCTGGCAGGTGTACGAGCAGCCTGTCTTTGACCTGGTTCTGTTGGGAGGCACCACGCGATTCCCCAAGCTTTGAGGGTTAGTTCCCTGGAATTTCAGGGAACGGACTGTGGAGATTCACCAATGTTTGGCGCCGAAACGCAAAAGTCATTGAGATGCACAGGCAAGGCATCCAACAGTGCCAATCAACGTTGCCGTTTTCACATCCAGTTGTCCCTAGGAAATCAAGGCTGCAGTGTATCCAAAACCTTCCTTTCAACTCCAAGATTCTGATCATAAAATCCGAACGGACGGGCGACTTGGAAGAGGCTTGGTCTTGATTTTATAGAGGGACCCAACCTACATGTTTTTTTTTGATAAAATGGGTACCGGGTGCCATTTTGTGGAATGCGGGGGTTGATTTTGTAAGAAATTGATCTTTCCCAGGATACGATTGCTGATTCCCATACAGTAAATCACTGGTTGATTTGGGCAAACTAGCAGATTGTCAGAATATGTCAGAATTCTGACGATTGGACCACACCACAGCTGAAGATAGGTGCTGCTAGAAAAAATGGCTGTAGAGCTAGGGAGAAGCATCACTTTTTCCTTACAACATGTGGGTCAAGGTGACACTATCAATCATGTTTGATTTACTTAGATATTTGATATTTTAGTCCAATATCTTGGGTGAGTGTGTTTCGTGTTGGGCTAAATTTCCCATATGAATGTTCTGACAATATGTCCAGGGTTGACTTTAGATTGACGGAAATGCTTGAAAATCAGAGGATTGTACTTCCAAAATCCGGGGGCACGCCTCACTGAACTGCAAGGTGGATGTTTCAACTAACCAAAATGTGGGATAGTGTGGGTAGCATCAACTCGCAAGAAGCATGTTACAATATATGAAGGTTTCCATAAATGGAGGGACCCCTATCCCTGGATGGTTTATAAGGGAAAATCCATGAACATCCTATTAAATTGAATGATTTGGGGGTAGCCCCATTTATGGACACCATGATATATATATATATATATGTGATTATATATGTACATGTCATACTGCCAACTTTTTGGTTTTATGATTTTTGATGGAGCCATGCAACCCATCAAGAAACATCGAAATAGTGAAGTCCTTTCAATCGTTTTGACTCGGTGATGCATATCATGGAGGCTGCCAAGGACCCAAGGGTTTTCCCTCCAAGCAGGTTGATGGGTGGTTCCAAGTATATTCGACATCGCCTGGTTCAAGGAGTATGTAGGGGTCGAGTTCAAAATCTGATTGATGAACTTAGACGGTCGAGTTCTGGATTCGGCGGTACTTCTATTGTACCACCTCGATTCGACGAGAAACATTCAAAGCCTGATTCAGATGGTTGACCAATGTTGACCATGTTAACATTCACCATGTTATGATCATCCTGATTGGGGAAAGATCATCTTAGTCTTAATATCTTAATGTTGACGTTGATGTTTCCCCACTTCGAATGTCTCTAAATTATATCCCCAGAGAAACCCACTGCAGATGATTTTTGTCTCTGGAATCCTCTGGACATATATGAAATATTATAAGATATTATAAAAATTCTACAAGATTATAAGTATGGCTCGAAAGTTAAGCCCCATGGGACAGATTGGGACAGTATGTTTTCGGAACATTTCGGAACTCGAACTCTTCACCATCTCATTTTGGGGTAGTTTTTACCCATATCCACATCGGCTAATTTTGGTCGATTTTCCAGAGGGATCACGGATCAGCCTTGCCATGGGGCTACCTATTTGTACCGAACATCTTGATTTGCTCGAAATTTGACAGCAATCGAGGAAAGGGGAGCTGCATGGCGCACAGTTTCATCAATTTCCCAACCTGGATGGTTTTTTGAGGGGAGGGAAGGCGAAGCCTTATCCGAACAATGTAAGCGCTTATTCGTAGCACAGGTTTGTTTCTCCTGATGTTAAAGCACCATATTGAACTCCTGTCAGTTTCAGAAATCGCTGGCGAATGCAGCCTTGTCTGAAGTATTTTCACCAGGTCACAACACCTTTGTCATTAATGACAAAGTTGAGAAGAACCCAATGACGGCATGGTAGTGCACCTGAGAATCGTCTCGCTTGTGCCCCTGAGAATCGTCTCGCTTGTGCACCTGAGAATCTTCCACTTCTACCTCTACTTGCACCTCTCTTTCTACTTCCACTTCTACTTTCAGCTCTATTCCTACTTGTCCTTCTACTTCTTTTTCCACATCTATTTCTACTTCTCCTTCTACTTCCACTTCTACTTCTACGTCCACTTCTACATCTACTTTCACCTTTATTTCTACTTCCACTTCTACTTTCAGCTCTACTTCTACTTCTACATCTATTTCTACTTCTCCTTCTACTTCTCCATCCACTTCTACTCCTACATCTACTTCTACTTCTACTTCCACTTCTACTTCTACTTCTACTCCTACATCTACTTCTACTTCTACATCCATTTCTACATCTACTTATACTTCCACTTCTACTTCTACTTGTACTCCTACATCTACTTCTACTTCTACTCCTACTACTGCTTCTACTTCTACTTCTACTACTGCGTCCACTTCTACTTCTACTACTTCTACTTCTACAGCCACTTCTACTTACATTCCCACTTCTACTCCTACATCTACTTCTACTTCCACTTCTACTTCTACTCCTACATCTACTTCTACTTCTTCTACTGCTTCTACTTCTACTTTTACTTCTATTCCTACTTGTGCATTCTACTTCTACTTCTGAAGTCAAAAGGTGTCGTGGCTCTTCTTACATCAAGTGCAACAAGGTATAAACCCTAAAGGTGTCGTGGCTCTTCTGACATGAAGTGCAACAAGATACAAGATATAGACCCTAAAGGTACCGTGTCTCTTCTTACATCAAGTGAGACAAGATCTAAACCCTAAAGTTGTCGTGGCTCTTCTAGCATCAAGTGCAACAAGATATAAATCCTAAAGGTGTCGTGGCTCTTCTTGCATCAAGTGCAACAAGATAGAAACCGTAAAGGCGTCGTGGCTCTTCCTACATCAAGTGCAACAAGATGTAAACCCTAAAGGTGTCGTGGCTCTTCTTACATCATGTGCAACAAGATATAGACCCTAAAGGTGTCGTGGCTCTTCTTACATCATGTGCAACAAGATATAAGCCTAAAGGTGTCGTGGCTCTTCTTACATCAAGTGCAACAAGATATAAACCCTAAAGGTGTCGTGGCTCTCCTTACATCAAGTGCAACAAGATATAAACCCTAAAGGTGTCGTGGCTCTTCTTACATCAAGTGCAACAAGATAAAAACCCTAAAGGTGCCGTGGCTCTTCGTTTGCAATGCGTGATAGCGTAATTTGCTGGTAATTTACGTATAGAATGGAGACCCAGGTGTGTAAGTAAGTGATTTTCCAGGTGCGTAAGTGGGTGAATTTCCCAGGTGCGTAAGTGAGTGAATTTCCAGGTGCGCAAGTGAGTGTAGTGCCCCCAAGGACCCCGCCCCCGCAAATTTCCGATCCAAGTTCATTCGCACGTGCATGAGTTGCGGACATTCGTCACTGGTTGCAGCATGACACAAGATGACACAAGGCCCAGACCAGGAGGTGTGTTGCGAGCTGCGCATAGCTGCGCATAGCTGCGCTCTGCGGTCAGCGGCAACAGCTTCGGCCAGGCAGTGATGGGGCAAGCTGCGCCGCCCAGGCGCAGGACAGCTTGAAAGGCCAGAATGGCTACTGTGAACACGCTGATTTTGGTGGATTTACCAGAAACGCGCGAGAACTCCACTAGCCCCACTCAATTAGGAGGTGAACGGCGTTGAACTTACCTCAGTTTTAGTCAAGATGCCGCATCATAAGTTTTTCATATGTCATAGTTCGTCAAAAATCAAGCCTATAAAGCCTATGGGTTAACTTGTTTTGCCCGACCAAATATCCACCCATGTCGAGAACATGGGTAGCATCTTCCTATGTGGATAGAAAACAATAGACAACATAGATTAGAATCATTAATCCACCAAACACCGCAGCCCCAGTTGGATATAGTTGATTATATAATTATATATTCTAATACATCCACATTTCTTGATCGTCCAGTTGGTTGGTTAATTGGTCACATATTCCATATTGTTCCCTTATAAACAACATTTTTAATATCCCATGCAACCATCATTTTTGAAGGGTTAAACCACGGTTCTTCCGATGGTTTCTCCATAGGACCTCGTGACCGCGCGTGTGCTACGGAGTGATGGGCTGGTGCGACCTCCCGGCCGTGGGGGGCGGCGGTTGCAAAGTGACATTTTACCAGCGGAAAACGGGGGTCTAATGAAATCGAAGCAGCTGCATTAAAAAACGTATCAAAAGGGTTTCAACTCAACAAACAAATTGGTTTCACTGTGTTTCACTGGTTCCACCAACAGAAAATGTCGTTGAACCAGCAAAAAGTTCGGGTCCAATGAAATGAATGAAACGGAGCGTAGCCAGCAAACATGGGACTCCGGTCATAGAATTTAAAGAAACAACAAATTAAGCAGGGGAGGTTCAACTGGGGAAACCTTGGTGAACATGTGTTTTATGGTTTTTTCTCCTAGCATGGAGGTGTTTTTTTGAATATGTGGTACATATAGCATGTCTACCATTGGATTTTGCAAAGGGTTCTTGAGGTTATCCACATTAGGTCACAGCCCACCAACAAACACAAACACCCGTGGATTTATGGCCATTGTTTTCAAAGTCGAAATCTTTGTTTACCATTTGTTTCTCTGTGAAGGTAGAATTTACAGCTAAATTTCCCACCATCTAAGCCACCATGGAATCATGAACCCGGAAAACATTTTAGTGGGTTACTTGAATATCATGCCCAGCTAAAAACTCCCAAATTCATTAAATATCATTCACCAAACTAGCAAAAACCCTGAAAATCACCAATTAAAGAACATGTGTTTCAAACTGCAAATCATGCCAGGATCAATGTCAGTTCGGGTCGTTGGCAACGAATCCACAATAAGCTATCAGCCAATATGCTATTTAATCTTGAATCACCCCCTTTCGAATCACACTTAAACATTTTGAATCCATTTCAGCCCTCATTAGATCCCCAATTTGTGAGTTTTAACATGTTTTAACCACCATTACTAACACTGTTTTTACATGCTTTAACAATTTCCAATTCTAAACGGTACAGCCATTGCTAACCATGTCTATTCCATATTCACAGTGTTAACCAAAGTTTTCCAGTGGCTTTTCCGTAGCCGTCCGTAGCTTCTCGAGGTTCTGGCCATTTTGGAAGATGCTCAGAGGTGCGAGCGATGTTGAGGTCATTGCACGACAAATTGAAATGTGGTATAGTTACGGTGGTTTCGTGCAATATTTTCAAACGGTTTGGATAAGTCACAATATGTGTTTCGATCCTATTTTTCTGTTTAATGACTTGGATGATAAGGGGGGCATGCTTTAGCAGTCCGGTTGGCCTGTTTGTCCACTAACTTCTGTTTTGGACGCTTTTAGCCCTGGAACTATTTATAGTAGGGCCGGAACTATTTGTAGCGTATTTATGGAAATTATTGAAAAAATGAATGGGGATCAGTCCCAGCTGCAAACGTGAAGACCAAATGGCACACTAGTAGAGCCACACGAGATATTCATCAGCGCAATATTATCAGCCCATAGACCCACAAATCCATAGACGCAACAATAATGCATTCATACATCCAATCTGGCAGAAGAAGAGGATGCACCATGGGAAAGTCGTCATTCACCTGTTTGTTTTCCAATTGAGAGTGAAAATCTACCAGGTTGAAGGTTCGGATCTGTTCATGCACTGGGTTTACCCTCAAAGGTATACCGAAGCAGTGGAAGCCACTGGCGCTTTAACGGTTTTAGAATGAGGTTCAATGAGTGGATTCAATGTTCGCAAACACAGTACTCCTTACAAAACATGTTTGGGCCTCAGGTGGGTTTGAACAAGGTCTCTGAATATTTGGCATAGGCATCGCTTCGGGATACGTCGGGTGCATCGCTTCGGGCTACGCCTCATGCATCGCTTCGGGATACCTCAACATCATCATCATCATCATCATCATCATTATCATCATCATCATCATCATCCTCATCATCACCATCACCATCACCATCATCATCCTCATTATCATCATCATCATCACCATCACCATGATCACCATCATCATCACCATCATCATCACCATCATCATCACAATCATCATCATCATCATCGTCATCATCACGATCATCATCATCACCATCATCACCATCACCGTCGTCGTCCAGAATAGACATATTCAATCATTATCATCATCATGTTACCCATCATAAGGGGTCGGAGGGCGGGTACCCCATCATCATGTTGTCCACTCATGGTTGACCATCATGTTGACCACCAAGTGAGCATCATCATCATCATCATCATCATCATCATTATCCTCATCATCATCATCATCATCCTCATTATCATTATCATCATCAACATCAACACCATCATCATCATCATCATCATCTTCATCATCATCTTCATGATCATCCTTGTTATAAGCATTTTCTGCCTCCGAGTATTTTTCATCTTCATCTTCTTCATGTTCATGGTGAAGATAGCGTCAGGAGAAGATGTGATATCGTGAGATCATGTTGGTGTGCAGGTGCAAGAGAAGATCGGCTCATGGTGTAATGATGGAGTCAAGTAATGGCTGAGTCAAGTAATGATGTAGGTAGAATGACCCCCTCCCCCCAAACAAACCCTAAATGGCTGAGTCAAGGAATGATGTAAGTAGAATGACCCCTCCCCCCCAAGCAAACCCTAAATGGCTGAGTCGAGTAATGATGTGAGTAGAATGACCCCTCCCCCCCAACCAAACCCTAAATGGCTGAGTCAAGTAATGATGTAAGTAGAATGATCCCCGCCCAACCAAAACCTAAATGGCTGAGTCAAGTACTGATGTAAGTAGAATGACCCTCCCCTCCAACCAAACCCTAAATGCCTGAGTCAAGGAATGATGTAAGTAGAATGACCCCTCCCCCCCAACCAAACCTTAAATGGCTGAGTCAAGTAATGATGTAAGTCGAATGGCCCCTCCCCCCCAAGCAAACCCTAAATGGCTGAGTCAAGGAATGATGTAAGTAGAATGACCCCTCCCCCCCAAGCAAACCCTAAATGGCTGAGTCGAGTAATGATGTGAGTAGAATGACCCCTCCCCCCCAACCAAACCCTAAATGGCTGAGTCAAGTAATGATGTAAGTAGAATGATCCCCGCCCAACCAAAACCTAAATGGCTGAGTCAAGTACTGATGTAAGTAGAATGACCCTCCCCTCCAACCAAACCCTAAATGCCTGAGTCAAGGAATGATGTAAGTAGAATGACCCCTCCCCCCCAACCAAACCTTAAATGGCTGAGTCAAGTAATGATGTAAGTCGAATGGCCCCTCCCCCCCAAACAAACCCTAAATGGCTGAGTCAAGTAATGATGTAAGTAGAACGATCCCTCCCCCAACCAAACCCTAAATGGCTGAGTCAAGGAATGATGTAAGTAGAATGACCCCTCCCCCCAAACAAACCCTAAATGGCTGAGTCAAGTAATGATGTAAGTAGAATGACCCCTCCCCCCAACCAAACCCTAAATGGCTGAGTCAAGTAATGATCTAAGTAGAATGATCCCTCCCCCCAACCAAACCCTAAATGGCTGAGTCAACAAGTTCGCCACGCTGAACTTGTAAACAATCAAATGGTGGAACAGAACCATTCCGTTGATGACCAATACCATGAACCTCAAAGAAGCATGAAGAAACTTGACGTGTTCATATACTTTGATCTGAGGACCCGGCCCGCATCCGTGAAGAAAAAAAGGCCCACGGTGCCATTTTCGTCCCTTTGTGGAACTGATATTTCCCAATGAAACTGACTCAAAACATGTTCGAGATTTGCAACGCTCACCCCATGCATGGGATTCGGGCTTTGTGATGAAGGAACCGCCAGTTCGTTGCTGGGAAACCCCAAAATGATGCCAGATCAACCTGGCTTGGAGAATTGCAGGAACGGATGCGTCAGTCAGCGCGAGCTACGCTACAGGCGCACGATTTGGAACCAGAATCCAAAGATGGCTTGGAGGTGCTGGTGGTGTGTTCCAGCTTTTGTGGGAATGTGGAAATCTCTTTGTATGTGTGTTCAATCGCCAGGCCATTGCTGACTCCTTGGCGGAGCAGCAGACCCGGCAGACGACAAGCAGCAGCAGGGCAAGGGGCCGCACCAAAAAAAGCAGGTGGGAAAGACAGTGTCTGCAAGTGGGCATCCCAATTCATAGGCCAGAGGCCGAGTTCTAGGGTCGCCCAAAAACGATGAACACCGAACACCACAGCCAGTTTCTAGTCAGCTTTGGGGATCGCCAGCTGCTGCAAATTTTCTTTGGGATGCACATAGTTGACATAGCTACTACTACTGTAGCTGAAACGTGTTGAAACATGTTGAAACCACCAACCAGATTCAAAACAGCGGTTGGCCCTTCTTTGTAGTTGAAAGTATTTTAGAACGGCACGTGTGTTTTCAGCAACAGGAGTGAACATGAAATGTACATGAATTGGGGCCCCATATTGGGGCTACTGGATTCAATATTTGGAGGATGCAGGAAGGGACCCCCAACTATGATAAATTTGTTTTTAAATAGATAGAGTGACTTTTGGATTGGTGGAGATTGATCTATAGTGAGGTGGGGTAACATAAGCCAACGCACACAACTACTTCTGAATAGATATATATCATCCATAAATCATAAATCCAATCATTAGCCTATGAGCCAATAGACACCGATCATCACTTGATGAAGTGCATCCACATGGATTTCTCTTCCATCCATGTTTTGTTGATCCTGTCTCCGTTGGAAGAGAAATCCCTATTTCCGTATCTTTTGAGTCGTTTTTCCTTGGTCAGAAGAAGACGGACTCACAAGACCTGGCAGGCGATGATTTCATCGTGGCCAGGTTTGGACGGTTTTTTGGCGCACTGCTGGGTGTTTTCTTGTTTGAAAGAAATCAACATATGTGGTGCACAAGATATACATGTATCCCGATAGTTCATGACAACCTGTCATGATTCATGTTATACATGAATTATCATGAATTATCCATTAAAACCTCAATTTAAATCATTTAGATTGGATCTTCCATTGCCACGTTTGAGTACGGCTAAATCCATTTAATCATTGAACTTGTTTTCCCGAAATTTTCAGACAAACTCAGCTGTTGTGCCTCGATTCCTCCAAGGACTTACAGGGCACTTTGCCCTTCAACGTATGCAAGGGTACCCAGAAATCGGTGTTTTTTTGAGATGCTTGTTGGTCGCGACAGATATGTTGGGTTCTAGATTTCGGATTTTGTCGGGTTGTTTTGAAAACTATGTGTGCATGCGGTGTTTGAAGGTATCCTTTCTCCCCCGTGTTTCAACATGCAATGCAAATAACAACCCAAATGGAAGACAGGCCCAAACCTAGCCAATTATCCACATTAAATGACTCCAGTCTTTCCAACAGCTGTCTCAATTTCACAGCATGGCCCCCAGTGCCAAACCAAGGTCCTTCGCGACAGCTCGATCCAAGGCCCTTAGGCATTGACCGCTTTCAAGGCAGTCTGCAGGGGTGCCAGAGACCCAGAGGTGTGGTCCAAAAGCACGAGGTAAAGAACTTGAGGCTGTAATTACCATTGATATCACAAAACTGGGAAAACACTGGACCTTGATGGACTTTGTACATTCTCTGTATATCCCAGCAATCTATGCCATGTTTTTATTGAAATGCACCCAGCATGGTCTGGCATGGGCTGCTCCTCTGACGATCCCAGGTGGCAGTGCCGAGGATCTAGTGCCAGCGCTGTTGAGACGGAATCCCCGTTTTCTGGGCATCGGAATTCAGTGGCATTTTTTCCAGCACCTCAAAGCAGTTTTTCTTATCACCGGTATCCTCCAGAATGGAATGACATGACATAACAAAACATGACCAGAAATGACATCGCAAACAATGCTCCTGCAAAGATGTGCAAAGATGTGCAAAGTATGTCTGGCGCCAATACGGTTGTTAAGCAGGTGTTACACTGTTACACTGGTGGGAAGGGCATACATTATGTAGGTGGATATACACAAACACATCTAACACTCTGGATAAGAAGGATGGTGGGAATGTTACAACTCAAGAAGTAGGTACAGATCTTGTTTATCATTGTTATCTTGCAGAGTCTTGTCAGCAGTCTCATTTCAATAGTTAGAGGGGGAGAGAGAGAGAGAGAGAGAGAGAGAGATAGAGAGAGAGA